GGTCCTCCTTCTTGCCCTTCTTAAAGACTTCAATGGACTTCCTTCAACCAGACTGAGTGTCCCTTACTGCTGACCTACACAAAAGGTGAACACAGACACTGCCTCTCATTGGCCTCTTACTCAACTCTTCATATCTCCCTTTGTGTCTGTTTTTAGTGTTTATACTTACTGCCTTATTTTCTTGTGCTTTTTTTTTTTTTTTTTTTTGCTTGCCGCCTTTACAGTTTGCTTATTTTCTGGGAATGGTCTGGATGAGAGTAGTCAGTGGGTCTGCATAGCCCCCTGTATCCCATGTGTTGTAGCTTTGACTATCTGAAACCAGGAGATGATCCAGAGTGTAGAAGTTGTCCCAGTATTTATTAAGAGAAGAAGGGCAGGGCTATAACCCCTCAGATAAATATGTACCTGGTACTTACCAATACAAAAGCTCGGTATGTTTCACACCGATACCCAACAAATCCATGGGGAGTGATAATACTCTCAACATAATATCGGAGACCTCTTTTATGTCCACATCCAATAGATCTATATGCTAGGAAAAAGTCCAGGTAAAAAAGATTAATGCTATACATTGACATAAAGTCCATGTCAAAACAACACTGGGTGGTCTTTTTTCCTCAAAAACATTTGTACATACAGTGAAGTTTCAGATAAAAAAAAATTAAAAAGATGTTTAAAGTGTGAATTATCTGGTATTATAGCAAAAAGTGTACTTATGGCTACATATATTTTTTCAGTGGGGAAGAGCTAGGTTCTAATCTGTTTTTCCCTGTGCTCATGCTGAAGTTAACAGAGGTGGAGATGTGCCAAGGCAGATCTGGTGCATTCTCCTATTCTACAATTTGTACCTAATGGCTTTTACTTTCGTAAGTCTTCCTCAGTTCTTATATTAGAGTATTCCTTTGATATTTCGAAGACTGAAATAATTCATAACTACAGTGTTTGTAAAGCATATAGTAGTTACTATGAAGTAGTTTTCATTTGCTTACCATTATCACAACATGGTATTTTGTAAAACCACAGTTTCCACTCATTTGTAGAATCAAAGGTAATTGTAGTAATTATTTTAACTTTGGTGGCTTTAAGTGTTTCTAAGCTCTAGAAAATGTGCGGTCATTTGACAGTGGTGATTCTGTGAAATGCTCTGAAAAGGAAGATGTTTGGCAGTGTGTCCTTGATTTTGTCAGAATTATTTGAAACAAGCACCATTTTGTATCAGAGTGAAATTTATAAGCAGTTAGTGCAAGAAAGAAGAAAGTGCCATTTGTGTTATATTTACAGTTCCCTTCTAACAGGTATTGTCTTAGTGGGCTCTGAAGTCTCTCCTTTACCAAAGCACAATATACCAGAGTTAGGTTCTAAGCAGTTAGGCTCTGCTCTATTTCAGCATGTGTTGGGGCTCACCTCATCACAGGGTGAAGTCTTGGAGGCATTGAAGTAGTTGCAAACTGGCACAGCTTATTGTGAAATCAGAATTTCACCCACTGAAATTTTTTATGCATCTTAAAGACAGACCAGCTGGTATTGACCAGTGGGTACACATTGTTCTTTACACAAGGAAAGAAAAAAAAACACACAAAAAATCCTTTGAAAAGTACTTTTTGTCTGTTTTTTTTTTGAAAATAATCTGCATCATCAAGGCTTCCTGAGTATGTTTTCTTTATATTTCCTTCTTCAAATATAATTCAAAAGGGTCTGTGGTTTTAACTTTGAAAATCTCAGCTCTTACAGCTGGCTTACTTTGTGCTAGTGCTAAATTCACTTAAAATTTACACAATGGGAACATAATACTCCTTGCCCCACTGCATCAGAAGCTGTAGAAAGAAGTTACTTAACATGATTTCTAAAGCACTTCAAAGATAAAAGCACTACATAAATGTAAATATAATTAAACAAAAGAGAAATGCACAAAGCAAGGTTTAAACAAGAGGCAGGAGTTAAGACTGTCTCTATTTTTAGTAGCTGCATGAACAATGAACTCCACATGCTCACGTTCGATAGAGCTGAGCTTCTCCTTCACCACGAAACATTGAAAACAGCCTTGTGAAGTGACTGTGGAAAACATGTAATTGTTTTTGCTGAAAATGCAGACATTCTTATGCAGTCTGTTTGGAAAGTGTTTTGGTTCCAAGTGACTTGTGCTCAGCCAGTTTTCAGTCCTCTTTATTACTCAGTTCTCCAGCCAGTTCTAAGACAGAGCATTTTTGAGGGCCAATTACTTAACCACTGGTAGGGATTTCAAACCATTTACCTGCAGATAACAGATTATGTTATTTCTGTAGGTTAGGATCAGCAAACAGGATTTTGGGGATCTACTGTGCTAGATCCCAGGGTAATTCTGATTAACCACCCAGCCTTCTTTGAAGAACGTGAAGTATCAACAGAGCAGTTGTTTTATTATCTTCTACGTTTTTAACCTTGTGCCAATTGTGTAACCAATTCTCTTTGAAGACACTAAAGCTGTTAACAGCTTGGATGAGTATGTCTAACCCCAGTAATACCAGGACTGAAGTCTTTCTAGGGAGAAAGGAACCTCAGATTGTAATGTACTAATTTTTGAATTATCCTTGAACGAAATTTTACCGGTCCTTCAGTGTGGAATTCCCACTGAGGTCAGTCTGTCAGCACAGTGGCCGGCTCTTGCAACAGGTTGTGATGAACAAGTCTGCATACTTTAACTGACATTTCCATCTGTAATTTGCCTTGGATAGTATATAAGAAAATTGGAGGGTATTTCACAGGTAGCTTTAAATCTGCCATCTTTGAGCATTCTCTCCCTACTCCAGATCTGAGCTGTGTAGGTAACGTATACATTCAAAAGGCTTTACCTTAGCCTAGCCTTTATTTCTAACTGTAGCTTATAATGAGGTATTTGTTCTTCAAAATATATTTACCTTTCATAAGGTCATTGATATTCCGAGTTGCAGCAGGTACACGAAGCTGCCTGCATCCTGGCATCCTCTTCCCACCATTTGGGTAAAAATCCAGGTGGCCACAAGTTTGAAGAATCCCTGGAGCTGAAATGTGCAATGAAGAGAGGCTGATCACTCCTAGGTAAACTATGGACAACCTCTGTGTTGGTGTCAGCCTTTGTTTGAAAACTTACCAAAGTCAAAGAAAAGATGGCCAGCGTGGGTATGAATTATATCAACGAATTTTGCATCTGAAGGATCCAGCCTAACCGTTGTGGGAGTGTACTCAAAAAGGGGACCAGCTGGATCCAAACCTAAATAAACACAGATACATCTGTTTGAGTAAATAATACTACATGTCATCACATACCATGTGATAAAATGGAAAAAATGGATAAAAATCCATTTTGTGGTCCACAGCCAGCAAAACAAGCAGTGTTTTAACAAAAAGGTGGCTGACGGCATTGCAGCACAGTAAAATGCTAATAGGTGTCTGGCTTACTTTTGGGGAATAATGTTATAAGAAGAGGTTTGGGGGTTTGGGTTTTTTTTGCATATTAGTGAAAAATATCAAATCTTGGTACATTACTCTGAGCATGTAGATTTGTTTGAGAATTCATATTCAGTCAAAAATCTATTTTTATTTCCAAAAGAGCTTGGTTGAAAAAGTTACCCCTTCACTTCCATGTCAGTGAGCTCTCTTTGGGGCTAAAGCAACACAGTTCTGGTCCCAGTTTCCCTGAATTGCTTATGGTGTGACTCCTTACTCTGTACACAGCTTAGTCAAAGCAATGCCTATGCAGAGAAAAGAACTGACTGAAGGAGAAAGGAAAGCAGAAAACAGTGAGCCTTTAAAAAAGTGATGTGTGAGTGTGTCGTGGTACCGTGTCTCTCTGTGCAGCTATGCAACTAACAGGTTTCATCCTCAGGGTGTGCATGGCTATTTACTATCTCATCCTGAAATATTAGATCTAGGGTTTTTAATTTTTCATTTCAGATTTTCAATCTCTTGAACTCATGGAAAGTCGTGTTAGAGTGGGCTTTTAAAATAAAATATGACAATGAGTTGCTAGCGTTTTACAAGACTGTTATTCCACATGTAAAACAGTATTTTGTTCCTGTTCTTTCATATAATTCAAAATCGTAACCAGGTGCTCCCTGGGACTTGTTGTGACTTGGGAAATGTTACCTCTATTTAGCCACAGTCAGGACAGTTGAGCCTTTATGATCTGTTGCAGTCGAGCCTTTCTCAAAGCTGTGAACAATGACATGTGAAATGCATGGCATGGTACAGGACATGGCTGTGTTTGTGTGTCGTCATGCTGGCTGTATACTGTTAATTACGACAAACCAGCACATTGCAATCTGTATTGCATTCTTATAAGGCATCAGTGACTCTCCAGTCCTCTTGAGTTGCATGAAAATATAAAGCTTCATCAGCTGAAATAGCTTCAGTACCTGTTATTCTTCCAATGCCAGGTTTCCTTCTCCCTGCCTCCCCTGCAGCGTGTGCTCCGAGACTATGGCCGATGAAATGAATGTCGGCAGGAGAGGAGCCATAGTCTTTCTGTGAAGACGTAAGGAAAGGAAAAAACACGTGTGTTAAGGGGGGATACAAGCCTGTGGCACTGCCTCATGGCCCTGTGCTGTGCCAGGAGATGGCCAGACCGGTGGGTGATGTAGGGGAATATCTTGAGTGGGAAGTTACTGCTGTGGTTGGTGGGATTGGTATAAAGAGAAGCAGTTCCCGACTCATCCCATCCCCTTAGATCACACCACTGGAAGGGAGTAATGTCAGTCAGGAGCTGGTCCTTATGATAGAAAAGGACCCACAGAGGGATGTTTTAACCATGCTGGTCCTCTGTTACTACTCTTCACCCTGCTGATTTTGCTAGACAGCCTGTAGTCTGATGTCTCATCCAGTAAAAAGCCCATCATGAGCAAAACTTTCAAAAACTATTGCCTGTAAGCCTTTAGGGACTTGCTTACCCACGGTCTGACACTAAAGGAGGTATTTCAATTTGTGCAGCATTAGAGACTTTTAATAAGACATTCAGCTGTGTTATTGAGTATCTCTGTAGTTTCTGGCTCTATTGCACAAAACTCAAAGGTGTGCCATCCTGAACACAGCCTTTACCATGCAGAGGATGTGCCAGCAGTCACGTTCCATAGATACTTTTACCTCAAGAAGGTTCACCAGATAGACCAGCTCAGCCCCCACAATGCGGACGTTGTTAACGGCTTCGGTGTACAAACCGCTAGAGCCGCCTCTCCAGTCGGTCAAAATGCAGTTCACGTCTTCAGTGTGAAACATGAACTGGTGGAAAACAGAACAGAAGGAAATTGGCATTAATTACAACTGGAGCAGAGTATATACAAACAATATTTTCTTCTGCTATAGCTGGGGATTCACTTTGTGTAACTGGTAAAGACAGTATATTATTTCTTTATTATATTTACTATTTATTTAGTATATTAATTCCCACTAATACTGAAGAATCAACACAAGGAGGCAGAGTGGAGGCAGTGATTTGAACACTATGTAAAGACACATGGAAGCTTACTTCCATTCTGTTTTCCATTCCAGATGCCTTGGTTAACTTTAGGGTATCAACTTCTCTTGATGGCAGTATCCCAGTTAGAAAAAGAGGATAGCATTACTTCTTTTTTATTGTCCAAACTTTATGCTTCAAAATTTATATGCTTGGATCATCTAAAAGGATTTACAAATTTGTCTTCATGTGCTTGAATTGTTCAGCCCCAAAGTTCATGTATTTTAACCAAAATATTCTAATTGCAAATTTCTGGCAATGGAACATTCTGATTTTTCATTCTGAAACAATTTCATTTTTGAAATGCCCCAAAATAAAATAAAACCAATCTGCTGAACAAAGCATTTTGTTTTTATTAAATCAAATGCTTCACTCAAACTGTAATGTTTATTTTTGACCTTTTGTTGAGGTGAGAAAAGTGACTTTTTTTCCCCTTTATTATTGGCAAGGAATTGAAAAATCAATCAATTATAGCTTTCCCTGTGGAGGTGAATGCATCAGAAGGGCATTTACCAGAAGGCTGAAGTGTGCTATACTCATAGCTAGGTACAAGAGGATGGTCATGTGGAACTGATATTTATCCTGAGTTCTTTTTTCCCTCATATATTCCCTGCATTAACACAAGAACAGAGGTGTAAATTTTATGTGGGAATTTTATGCCAGTTAATGAGGGGGATGTAGATATTTGCACTTTCAAACACAGATAGAATGTCAATAGTCATACCATACCCTGCATATATTTGTCATCCAGGGGAAGTCTGCTCCAACAAGGTGGCCATGTATAATGAAGTGAGTTTTCCTGTCTGTTCGGAAATTTGAAGCTTTGATAGTTGAAGAATTTGAGGCAGAAATTATCTGTGTCAAAAAAAACAACAACCAACAACCAACAACACAAAAAGGATGTGGCTGCTCTGTCCCAGTCACCATTTTGATACAGGGCAGAGCACCCCAATGGCTAAGGCATTGTTCTGGACTCTGAAGAGATGGATTTTGTTTCTCACTCTTAAACTGCCTTGCTGGAGGTTATCAATTAATTGCTTCAACACATTGTTCAATTCCTCTAGTTAATTAAACTAATGATACTGGTGGTTTTTTTTGCACAATGCTTTAAGATGTACTGGTACAATGTGCCATGTAAATACAAGATTTTATCAACTTGGCCATGGAAATACAAAGATAGTATCTTCTTCAAGGTATTATGTGGTTGACTTTCAATCTATATATATTTTTCTTTCTTTTTTTCTTTCGAGATAAGACCTTCATCGCTAAGCTTGTTTATATTTTATCCTAAAGATGTTCCAGACAGCATGAGAAAGCCCACCAGCCTTACAACATCCGAGGCTGTAGGCTGTAGGCATTTGGGGGTTTACTGAGAAGGCAGGCATTACTTTCTTTAAAAAAAAAAAAAAATCTGTGTTGTTATAAAACTTGTCCCTGACTTATTTTTTTGTTAGCTTTGTTATTTTTTGAGCTTCCTTTTGCTGCCACTAGTTTGCAGATGTTGTGGAGATCCGCACATTTTTACTTTTTTTCCTCCATACAGCTCCGGAGTCTGCTGTGTCTATGCTTCTCTGCCTGATGTGTTTTCATGAGGGATAACGTGGTTCAGACCTCTGTAACAGAAACCTCCAAGCTCTCTATATGCTGTATCATACCAAGTTTTTTTTCTTTAGCTCTTTAGTCTTCATTTCCCCTCAACCCTCTTCTTGAAAAAAAAAGTTTCATATTTGTTTACTTTCTTTATCCATCCCCATTTCATTCTCTTTTTGTTTTTTTCCTTCTTTTTCCACATACGGTTTAATTCTCTCCTTCATTTTTTCTTTAGTCTCCTGTTTTCCTTTCTAAGCTTTCCTTTAATTTTTCATCCTATTTTCCTTCCCCTCTCTGGTGAACACAGATACTTTCTCTTCTTATCTTCTCTCTTAACTATCTCTCTGCTCTTATGGCTCAGTGAGCAGAACCTCTGAGAGCAGTCATGTGTAGTTCAGAGGATCTAGTAATCATGAGTATGAACCACATCCCTGAGTCGTGTGTAAGGGTTTGAAATGGCCTGAAACGGCCTGAAACATGTTTTTAATCTGAAGACACACAGGAGACAAAATTTAGCTTTTCTTTTGTACTGCCTTCCCTACCTCTGGCTTTATAATGCTAAACCTGAAACTGAATTTCTTCCATTAGCTTACTGTAGAGAAGTATATAAAATATATCGAAAATATCTCTGACGACTTGTGTTAGAAGGCTGCCATTAATATGTTGTAAATATACCTGGCTCATCAGAGAGCTGAAATGAGGAAAAATAAATGAGATGGAAGAAAATTAGGATGGACTGTTCATGGACTGTGTAATTGGGGCTTTTTCAGGGAGACTTATGAGCAAAAATATGGGAGAAAAGAAACTGCATAATTTGTGAAATATGTAGTATACTATCAGTTATTAAAAAAAAAAAAAGCAGTTTCTTACTTGATATTTCTTGATGTTGTCTCTAGTGTAAAGGAAGAAATTGGTATTCACATCTTCTGGAGAGCTGGGCAAGCCTGCCAGTTCTCTCCCTGGTATCCCAGCCCAAGGGGGGTTATCTGTAAAGCACCCAAGCCTTTTGTAGCAAACTTCCCTTCCTGGGATAAGCAAAGAAAAATGTTAGTGTTCTGGGAATGTAGCAGGTTAGGCTGCCACCACTTTACAAAAGATGGCAGGATAGTGTTTATACCAGGGAAGTGGAAAATGGCTGTGTTCATTTTTCATTAAGGGGCTCAGCTGTGCTCCTGTGCCTTATGTATTAGCAGGGACTTGAACTTCAAGACCAATTCCTGTTGCAAACATAGTGTAGAGCTCCATTTGGTGAACTCATGACTTATTTTGTGAAACATATTTTTGACACAGCCATCGGAAAAAGACAATAAAATCTTGACCCTTTATGGATCCAGAGAACAAACCAGCTTTTGCTGTCAGTGCAGAGCAGTCCTTCAAATTAGTGCTAATGCCCCAGGGATTATCTAAATCTCTATTTCTTGTGCAACAATTCATGAAGGAAGTAAGAAGAAACCAAAACATTAAAATAGATACCTCTGGTTGCTCCACAATGTATGTTAAACATCTTCCTTATATTTTTATCACCATAAAATTTTAGTGGAAGCAATAAAGCAGAATTTGAGTGGAAGAATAAAGAGAATCACAGCCTCAGGAAGTCTGGTGTGTGCCTGAAGAACTAGAGTTTCCCAATTTCTTTTGTTGCTTTAGTTCAGTAATGATGCAAATATAACATAAGGGTGTTGCCATTAAATGTCATCCTTACCCACTATTATAGCACAACAGTTGTGAAATAGCAACTTTTGTTGCTATTAAAAAGAATGAAAAGAACGAGAAACTATTGTTAGCTAGGACAGGTAACAGATTAATACTACATCAGACCGTGACTTACTCTATTCGCTACTCTCTATGAAACACGGGGGCAGAGTGATATATACTGGAAATACATCTAGAGAAAGAGAAGATTTAATTGTGGAGCTGCAGCTAGACACTCCACAAGTGATCCAGTAATTTTCACGGGGGTCTTTCCTCTGGTGCCAATTAACTTTTAGACTGTGTGTTTTTATTTCTCTCCGTTCTTTCTGTGTGTCTGTCCCTGTTGAACTATTCTTTCCTATTGGTAAAGGAAAGTCCTTTGGACCAGGACTATTTTCTTGTTTGCATAGCACTGTGAATAATAAGTGCCTAGGCTGGCATTGTAAATGTTGTAGTTTTCAAAAATGCTGGTGTGGGTTGAAGGTAGGAGAGACTGTTCTGGAATAATTTTAGTATCAATTAATATATAAAAATACCTTTCTAACTCTTGTTCTGTTTGCTAGCTGCAAAAACTTTTACAGAATGAAAAAGCAATAGGTTAAATGAGGGGAAGACATGATGTAACTCAATGTTCCTGATGAAGAAGTCTGTTAAATCAATTTCAAAGCACATCCTTTTTCTAAAATACAGTTATTCTGATGTAAGCTGCACACAAAAATTTTTGCTGTCTATAGATTTTGTCAACTATGTGTCTTACCTCTGGCCGCATCAAGAAGAAAAAGAGTAGTGATCCACACTGCAAACATCTAAAGCAAATAAGAACACAATTTAAAACTAATTAAAAATAGAATCTTGAATTCACCTAAGGGATTCCTTGACCCATCAGAAAAAGTCATAGTGACCGTAGGAGTACTTCAGGCATTTAATGGGTTGGATCCAAAAGAATGAATACTTCCTTAAAGATAGCAAGGTTTCAAGAAAGTACCTTTGGGATTCTTTCTGTTTGCCATGGGGATTTTGCATATGCAGGATACACTCTAAGCATCTCTGAAGGTTTTTCTACCTGACCATGTTAAACAGAAGCTTCTCCTTTTTTTTTTTTTTTTTTATTTTTTTCTTAAAGCATTTGCAACCACATTTTTTTGACAGAGAGATGTTTCTCCTAGCATTTAGTATAAAAGTTACTCATAGAACTGCTATTCAGTGATTGCATTTAAAAGAACACAGGAACAAACTTAAATTCATTTTCTAAATCATATAGATAGTCTTGAAAACTCATTTTGATCATTGCCATCATCCATGTACACTTATCAGCCCTGATCTGTTTGATCACTTAATCACCAGCTGATAGGTAACATCAGAGTAAATCGAACTAGTCTTTTACTTCGAGGTGAAGTAGCAAAAGCCTTTTAAGTGTAGTCTTACTACTGCCACTAGTAACTTGTCTCTAAAGGAAGGAATATCATTCTTAGCAAACTCTAATATCAAGCCCTGCACAGGCAGAGTCCTGCATCCCCTTCCTGCCCTTCCCACCCCCCGTCCCCCCAGTCCCCTGAGGTCAGTAACCCGCTGTTAGGAGCAAAGAGTTCACTCCATCAAACCCACTTCAAGCATGCCCTGCTTCCATCTCCTCCAGCCACACACCAAAGACATCATACCTTATCACAGTGCACCTAATTTAAGTTCCTTAGATGCTCGTGTCTCCCATGCGTCCCACTTTACCTTGGCAAAGCCCAGAGCAAGTTCTTTGGTCCACCTCTCAGCTGATCACAGCAAGCCTTGCATGAACCCTTTGAGGAGGCTGGAAGGAAGCAGGAGAGCACTGCGCCTGCACAATGAGGGCACGCAGCAGAGGAATGCTTACGCTGCTGATGCTGCACAGGGCTTGGGTTCCCAGCTCTGGCTGCGACACTGTTGGGAAGTGCCAAGAGACATCTCCTAGTGTCAGGCATGCTTCATCTGAGATAACGCGAACCAGTTGAGACCAGTTGGTTCGTGACTCCACCTGTTTAATGTAAAGTTTCAAATAGCGTGTTATTGTCATTCATCGGTAATTGTTTTCAAAGCTAAAAAGTACTGGGAAGTGTGATGTAAACATGAACAAAAACACAGCCTTTCAGGGTCAGGAACAGGACTCTTCCAATCGGCTGGGCTGATTGTCTTGGGGTGATGCTGAGTTGGGATTCAAGTGACTTAGCATCGCATGGGAAGGCTGTAGCAGAGCCCTGATCTTTTGGGTCCTACTCCAGAGTTTTAAGAGCAAACCCATCCTTCCTGGAGCTGATCCCTGCCTTAAGTAATTTACAGTCTTAAGCAAAATTTTCAAATTTGTATTAGATAGTTAAGTCATAGAGTAATTTAGGTTGGAAAAGACCTTTAAGATCATAGAGTCCAAAAAGTCTACCATGACAACAAGACACAAACAAGGTGTTATGGGATCAGCTGGCATGTGTGCTTGCAAGGTTTAAGCTGTTACCTGAGAAAAGGCAGAAAGAAGAGAGAAGGATGAAAAATGGTAAAAAAATTGCATTGCTCAGTCTGTCATCAGTTATTTGTTCATCTTGTAGTTCTCTCTTCTATAATTTTGCTAGTGGATGAATTACCTGACTTTTCTTTGGAAAGATGACAGAAATGCTTTTAAACATGGGAGAACAGTTCCTTGAGCAGATTGTCACCGCATCTGATCACCATGAATCTTCATAATTAAGTTGTATTAATTGCAGTAATTTTAGTTTTCAGTGTTTCAAAAATGATGTCTTTTCACATGGTACTATATTGTTGTCATACTATTATGTTAACATTTCCAGTCAGGCTTTCCTAGAAATATTTGTTCCTGTATGTGGGTCTTTTACAACTTAAATTATTCTATGATTCTATGTAGGAGCATATGAGAAGCTCTCATCTCAACATTTTAGTGTTAAACATTTTAAGTATATTCGGTGACTATTGACACCTCCTGAGCCAAGGGTGTGCAGAAAGTGGAGACTCCCTTTTGGTATAATCCTTTCTGCTGACTGATGACATATCTAGCACATACAAGTATGAACTGGGTTGAAGTGATTCTTAAGAGCGCTAGGTACAAAAACATTTTCATGCTTGTTTTTTTCTCTTAGCCTTGAAAGGTTGATTTCTTCAGATGCAGATTGTACATGCAAATGGATCCTCCATCTCTGTGCTTTGTAAACCTAGCAGAAAATTAAGAAGAAATGTTAGTATGTAGCTCAGGGAGTTTGTTCTTTTCATCTCTTCAGGACCTAGTCCAGTAAAGTTTTCAATTATTCACATTAACATTCATTTGAGTTATCTTCTGCTCACATAATTAACTACTGATTTAGGGCACAAATTGATCACATAACCAGCCACCAACAGAATTTAGCAAACAAAAATCCTGACCAGGTGTTTGGAAGAAATGATTAAGAGAAGTACACACAAAAAACCATCTGCTTCCAAGTTATCCTAGGTCATGCTGGCCAAAACTGGCTTCAGGGATACAGGTTACAGGTGCTCAGAGCTGGGATACTACAGTGTACGGTGTACTTGGATCTGGTGATGAGGTGCTCAGATCTGTAATACAGTATCACATGCAAAGGGAGTGAATGCTTGCTTTTTTTAATATCTCTAAGAATTTATAGACAAACTCAGAAAGGCTGATTCATTGGATTTTAAGGGCCCCACAGAAAACTATCTACATTACCTGCTTCTATTTTAATTTTGTTATATATAATATTGTACCAAAGCCTCACTTCATTCTATCCTCACAATTTTTTCCCACTTCAGAAGGAGAGTTTACTGCAGAACAGGTCACTCGAACTTTTAGATCAATCTAGTTTATGCAATAAATTATTCTCATTAATTTGAATTCATAGATTTTACCTATTTAGAGTATTTTTGTGCTTAGGCTCTCTGGGGAGCTCAAGAAATCAGAATTATCCATTACATCAAGAAGCCTTTCTGGAACCTGGTATTGGGACGATAGTCCCAAACCAGACCTAAACCCTCTGCTGCAACATGGACTTCAACAGCAGTCTGGTGGTGAAGATTTCAGATCACTTACAAGATTCAGTGATGTTGTCAAGTTAAAATTAGAACAACAACATATTTAAGGGCTTTTGATTTTACTTCTGATGAGACCATCATCATCTCACATCCTAGATGCAAACGTGTACTATGCTACTGTTATAAATAATCATTCCAGCTACTATGGAGCATCAATTGGAGCTTACCTTCTCTAGGCTTTTCTCAGAACACATGAAATTATTATTTAGAGCAGTCAGTGAGGTAGCACAGATCTCCTCCAGTGTTTAAGACAAGGTTATCAGGAGAGCGAGGCATCTTCATCCTTGTAACAAATTACTCAGAGGCTTTACTCCAGCAGACAAGCATGAAATGCATTTTCTATGCTAGTTTACTAATACCAGGAAAGCTTGTAGCTCAGCAACATTTTTAGATGTCAGCATTTCTGTGTCGGCTTCTAGAAAACTTCTCACTTTTGTTGGGTTAACTACTTCAGTATTATTTGGGACCCATGCAGGAAGCAGCAAGTCACAAAGTGCTGACTCTCCATCCCTTAGGAGTTCTTGAGCATTTCTCTTCCATGCACTTGTCCAAGCTGTCCCTGAACTCATGCACACTTCCAGCACGCCCAGCATCCTGTGTCAAGCAGCTGCACATGATCATGATGCAACTGTGAGAGGGATCATCTCCTTTTGTTTGTTTTGAGGTGTGCAACTGCCAGCTTCATTTCACACCCTCTGTTACTAGTGTGGAAAAAAATGAACAAGTCATTTTGCATTTGCCTTCTCCATGATCCTCTTCATTTTATAGACCACATTCACACCCCTATCTCTTTTCCAGACAGACTTCTGTTTTTCCCTTATATGCCAGAGGAGGTGGGAAAATGACTGATTATTCCATTTGTCTGGTGTAGGTGAACAAAAGTATTTTCCTTTTATTACCAAAGCCTGTAAGGAAAACTGTCCTGGAGTCTTGTCAATGAATGTGTGTGTTGTTGAGGGAACAAGTAGCCAAAGGTGGAAGAAGGTTCTTTCTGCAACTCAAGCACAGCTTTGTGCAGTCTCTCCTAAAAGCTCCCTTCTATAGCAACATCTAAACGACAGTAACTTATGTGATGAGGTGCAGTGTGTATAATAGGTTATGATAAAAATAGGACTAATAGGGATAATTGCTTTAAATCACTGTGCAGAGCTGTTTATGCTTTTTTCCCCCTTTTTGTTCTTTAATTGTAACTGCACCCACTTGTCATGTCTCAACCTGGAGAGTAAACTTTCTGGTCGGGGCCCTACCTACCTACCTACCTACCTCTGCACATTGTGGGGTGCGTAATTCGGTTTTGGGTAGCATATGAATAATTTTTCTTATAAAGGGTAACACTAATGTAAAGGTCACCTTTTCCAGCACATCAGTTTTAGGGCCCTCCCTAAGCAAGTAATACTTTTGAATAAAAAAGCCTTGAATACCAGCAAGTATTTTTCTATTCTTTCTAGTCTGCTTGGCTGCTGAAATAGATATGAAGGGATCATTATTCTTTTTATCCTTCATTATGATCCAGCTTCTAATACTTTTATTGATGCTAATCCCAATGGAATCACTCACAGAATAAAACACTTCTTAGCTAGAGAGAGAGAACCAAATGTTAAGTTCCACTTGCTTTATATTTTAATACCATTTAAACTAAACAGCTGTTGCGTGACTTATTTGTATGTCCTATGGAAGTCCTTGTTTTTATCTTGTGCTTCTTGAGGTGGTCCTGGAGATCTCATGAGATTTGGTCTGTAATGCTCCTGACTACATTTTGTCCCAGTAATTAAAATAGAGTGAAGAAGCTGTTTAAAAGCATTGGCTCCTATCTGCTCTCCTCATAGCAGTATGAATTTTCAAGGATGTGAGTGTGTAATTAGCCATCCTTGATTCACTGCTTACCTCTCTGATGACCAGCCTTCTGGCTCAGTTAACTGTAACACTTACTGGCACTGCTGAGAAAATGGGTGAGGAATGATTAAACTTCCCTAGCAATACTGCAGGAAACATTCCCCTGAGCTTCCTCTGGCCTTCGGCTGTCTGAGTCAAGAAGTGCTGTCTAGTCTGGTCTGTTCTGGTCATTTCTCACATATCGGAGTTTGCATGAAACATCCCATCACCATACTACAGTTATTTAATTCAGTGTCAGTTTAGAGCTCCTAGAAAACTGGAGTTCCATATCCTGTCAATGTAACAGAGCAAAGATGGGCATCCTCTTTCGTCTCTAGTACTGTTTGACTTTCATTTAGCAAAATTCATTAACATCAATTTTAGATTGGAAAAAAATGGAGAAAAAAAATGTATTTGCACAGGGCTTCAGTTTAGATAAAATATCCCCCTCCCTGGAACATTTTAGTGAAGAAAAGAATTCAAGCAGTGTTAGTGAGTTCAGTCTTTCGAGCTTGAAGACATGTATTTTCTTATTTTCACATAATAATGATGCAATTGCTGATAATCATCTGACTAGTAATAGATTTTGCTTGTGTCTACAACAGCTACCTGCAGATTGTAAGAGTCTAGGCTACATATCTGGAATAGATACAGTAGGTCAGAGTCGCTGACTGGATTCAACAGAGTTAGACTGATTTACACCAGATAAGACCTTAAATTTGTGTCTTAATAAACAAAATAAATTTAGTCCTGCATTTATGTCTTAGTTTGTGTCAAGCAGAACTCCAAGTGAGTCAGCTTTTCACCACTACTGTGGTATAACTCTTGTGCTTGACGCACATTGTGAGGACAGTACTGAATTTAAAAGTACAAAATAGGGAACTGAAGAATGTGATATAATTCGGAAATTTTAAATCGCATTCAGCAAGGTATTTTAAGGCCTATGGGCACTATGTGAGGTGATCTGAATTTCCAGATGTAAATTAGTTAAACACAGTGCAAAAAAATGAAAGAGATAAGCAAACCTTTGGACTTCTTCCTAACCAATTGCCATTTCTTTCTTTCATTCATCTACCATCTAGCATGGACTTTTGCACTTTTGAAAAGTTAGAAATT